GAGGAGGGGTCTTCTAAAGCAATCCCACAGAAGTCTCTCTTTAGTCCATACCTCTCAACTGGAAAAAGCAAGAAGGCACCCAAAACCATTTAGACAAGACCTTTCAAAACTCAGCTGGGCAGCGCATGGATGGACCATGAATACCGAGCTGTCATGCTGTTTCATTATGGGGTACATAAAAGGAAAATGGGGCAAACACTCAGGCTGCCTGTCAAGATAGACTTTCACCCTCAAAAGGGGAGGCTCCTTCAAGGGGGAGAAGCCTAGAGAGGGAGCTAGGTGAAATGCTCCAGCCTCAGAGTCAACCTCACTTTTAGAAAGTTTAGCTCAGGCAAATTACTTCATTTCTCTGGGCTGGAGCATTTGCCTGAGCTAAACTTTCTAATGGTGAAGTTGGTTCTGAAACTGTTAATATGTGAGCACAAGGCAAAGAGGAGCATGGGCAAGTTGGCAGGGCTGTGGAACTGTGTGAGAGGAGGGAGGGTAGGAGGTACGCTCGGCAGACGTTGCCTGAGCGTGGCCAAGAGATACAGGGAATCAAGAGGAGTGATTCTGAAGGCCCCTTTGGGCGTCAGGTGCATGGAAGGAGGGGAATATATCGTGAGATCTTTTGCTGTAGGTAATGTGGCTGGATTCTCCACTGATGTAATCTTTTCCTCATATTTTCCAAGTGTTCTGTAATAAACCTGTGTTCCTTCCTTTGTACATTGAAAGACAAAAAGTCAACAGAGCAGTCTGGATTTTTTCCCATAAACTTTAGCTGTCAGGAGTGTCTGGGAGAGCGGTGTTTGGTGGGTTGGGATAGCCAGAGATACTGGGAAAGGTGGATGATGGAATAGGGTAGGAGATGATGCTCAGGAGCTGCTGGCAGGTCAATAGACAGGGGGCGGGGGGAGGCACAACAGGAAAGTGGTGTTCAAAGCTTAGAGAGGGATGAGAGACTCCAAGGAGAGATTTGGAAAGAAGATTTGGTTTGAAGGATATACAGGAGTCAGAAAGAGAGGCGAGGCAAACCCACATGCAGGATTTCTAACTTTGAATGGTGCCACCCGCAAGAGTGTCCAAAGAGTTGTGTGGGCCCAGAAAGCTGTGCGGGTTCCTGGACTCCAGAATGCACGGGCACCTGGTGCCCTCTAGCTCTCCAGGCCAGTGCCTGCCTTGGAGAAAAAGAAACAAACCCAGGGAAGCCACAGAACAGTGTGGTTAAGCTTGGTCCCATAAGCCAGCCAACCACTATCCCTGGGAATCACTCTGCAAAAGTATTTGAGGTTAGGCAATTAAAGCAACCCCAAGAATGCCTCTTGGGTTCTTCTCAGGGATTTCAGCTGTGCCAAATCAATGAAGCTCTCTTATGAAAAATCAGTTTCCCTGGAAAACAAATTTGGGTTCTAACCAGCAAGTAGCATTGGGCAAACTCTCATGAAGAAAGCCAGTGTTTGGAGAACCGAGGAAAACAGCAAGTCATTGAGCAGAGCAAACCTGGGAGCCTAGTGCCATTTCAGGACTGTGACAGCTGCTGTTTCCATCAGCTGGGAAGTCCAAAGCTGTGGCTTTGTTTTAGGATCTAACTGTCACAAATCCTGGTCTGTCCTAGCTTCCCATGAAGCCTTGGGGGAGAGGACAACAGTAGATGACTTGGAGCCCGATTTCCTGCCCCTGTTCAGTGCGTAGAGGACACTGACTGTCAACAAGGAGACCCAGAGGAAAAGCCACTCGGCTGGTCACACCCTAATGGTCATCTACAATGGGAGCTACCCTCAGCTTGAGCTGAGATTTTCTGGGGCAAATATTCTGCTCTATTCCTTTTGGGTCCAACATTAGGTCAGACATTCCTTTTGAGTCATACCTTATCCTTACCCGAAGGTCACCTATCTAACATGACCCCACAGGCCGGGGCTTCTAGGACACATCCCAGAGGGACCGGGTCAAAATGCGGAGACTGTAGGTCTGTGGAGGGCTTTAGGGTCCAAATTTCTAACGCATTCTCCACTGGTACGGATACCACTTTCCACATATCACACCTGGAGTGGGAAGGCTATGGGCAAGCTCCGGAAAGTCACCTTCCACCCAGCACTGTTAGCCTGAAACTGTAGCAAACAGGGTTGTTGCTTGCCTATGCTCCTCCCAGGAATAAAAACACTGCACTGTGTGACACAAGAAACACACTCATTTAACTTGGGACTCTCATGCAAAACATGCCTTCCCATTCTGTCTGGGTTGTACACGGGGTAGGCTGGAAGGGCTGAATGTCCTCTGGAAAAGCTTTGACTATTTCCCTTAATGCTCAAACATCACCAGGGCCTTGGGGGTGGGAGGAGCACAGCCTGAGCTGGCCTGGTACCCTCCTCTCACCCACGGACACAGGACCCCATGCAAAAAGCTCATTGGAAACACTGGTTTGTCTTCTGCTGCTGAAGGCCCACTGTCGGTCGCACAACCACTGTTTGCAAAGAGCTTTTGGTGACCTTGTACAGGCCACAAAACACAAAAGCAGTCATTTTTCTAAAGTACCTGGAAAAAGTCTAGTAATTATTGTTCCAAACAAGCCTTAGCTTTTCTAACATGGAAAGGAAAAAAAAACAAAAAAACTTCTCAAATGAAAGGTCTGTGTTTTGCCCTGGTTGTGGGGCTGGAAGGGCCTCCCCACCCAGCAACATCACCCGTCTTTGAAGCAGCAGCTCCTACCTCCTACCATGGGGGATATGTTTACGTTACCGCCTTTTATGGTTTGGGCTGGTGTGGGGCTTGTGGTGGAATTTTTAAAAATATCTAAACAGTAACTGAAGCCTTACTGTGATCTCCTCACTGAGCTCATGGAAAAACTCAAGTCATCGAATGTTAGTTTTACAGAGAGGGGAGTGAGGATGGGTGAGATCACTACTAGCCTTGCTCAGACCCCTCCACCATCTCTCTGGAGATGGGGGTGCTGGACTGGAAGAGGGAAAGCATGCTTTCCAGACTCTTTCCCCAAATTAACACAGCCACTTTTCCTGGCCTTGGGGAAGGCTTTCTGGGATCAGGCCTGCACTTGACTCTCTAGGGTGTCTTCCAGCATCCTAGACCAGATAGTCATAGAATTCAGAGATGCCTTTTGCTTTCTAGCAGAGTAGATGTTGTTTGGATCTGCTCCGTGTGCGACCTTTTCCCATCAAGGCCACCTTCCTGCATCTCCATCTCCACCCATTCAGTTATCAGTATCCTTTTAGGGACCACTCTCTGCTTGTGCCTTCCCTCCAGCAAATCACTGAATGCCTCTTGCTCCATGTCTCCTTACTGAAGAATGGCTGTCAGGTTCAAATCTCCACCTTTTACCCTTCCCTCAAGCCTGATTCGGGCTGTTGGTAGACATTCCTCTGAGATGAATCACTTGTATCTCAAACACATCAGGTTCCCAAGCTACTCATCCTTCTCTGGCAAAGCATACCCATCTCCATGCCCTTCATATGAAAAACGGCAGCAGCATCCATCATGAGGTCCAGACCTCAAACACCTTACTCACCCTTGGTGCTTATTTGACCCCAGAACATGGTGCATTAGTTACTTTCCTCACTGCTGGGACCAGATGCTTGACAAGAAGCAGTTTTCGAGAGGAGGATTTGGTTTTGGCTCACAGTTCAGAGGGTGCAGTCTGTTGTTTTGGCTCACAGTTCAGAGGGTGCAGTCCACTGTGGCTGAGAAGGCAGGTGGAGGGAGGCTGCTGGCTCACATGTCTGTGGTTTACAAGGCAGAGCACGGGAATGTTCATGTTCACCTTACCCCCCCCCCCCCTTTTAATTCAACCCATCCGGATTGTGTGGCGTTACCTCTATTCAAGACAGGTCTTTACCTTTCGGCTGCTCTTCTTTGGAAACACCATTGTAGACACATTCAGAGCTGATTTTCACTGACGCCCTTGGGCATTTGTCAGGCCAACCCAGTGGGTAATGGAAGTCAACCATATAGCTTGTATGTTCCCCTGAGACTATTATCTCCTAGACCATGCCTCCACCACTTCTCTCTCCATCTCCACCTGTATCAGAGTAGCCCAAGCTCCTGTGTGGCACCCTCTTGCCCACACAACCCTCTTGCCTTTCACCTTGCCTTATTTTACCTGGTCTCCTCAAAGCCTGCTCTGGACACTGACTGTGCCATTTGCTTGATCCTAACACTGGCAGGATTCTCAGCTTGGATCCCTGCTACACTCCTGTCTTCTGTCCTACTCTTGTCTCTACCCAAAATGCATCAGCCACCAGGCTGGCTTGGATCCTCTCAACCCATCCTCTTTTTGCCTGGCTACATCCCATTCAGCCTTGAGATCTAAAAGCAGATGATACTAGACTTTGCCTGGGCCAGGTGCCTACTCCTGACTCCTACGGCCCCAGTTGCCAAGGCAGCTTTTTGCTAGACTCATGTTCTCTCACAACTGGAAGCTCATCCCTGGGGCTAGTAGTACCAGGTAAGTGGAGGGTGATTAATAGGTGCTGGGTTGAGCCCTCACCTCCCTACCTACCAATTGACTGTTGGCACACTTTGAACTCATCTAGGGCATGGTTCTTAGCTGATCTGTCTCTTTGCAACCATCTGTCTGGCATTCACAGACTTTTACTGAAGCCAGGTGAGGGATTCCTTAATGCCAAGGTGTGAGCCCCACCCTCCCCCACTTTTCTATGTCACCAGGAAGATTTGCTTCTCATCTGCAGTGTGCCAGCGCGGCTGATGCCTCTGGGCTGCAGAGGCCAGTCTCAAGGGCCAAAGCTTGTGGAAGGCAGCGCAGACGCTCTGGCTTCCAGCAGTCTGGAACCGAGGATTCTCTGGGCTCCAGGCACGAACACCTAAAGAAAGAGTCAAACTTGAGAGCGCTTTCCTTTTCACCCGCACAAAGTGGGAGGAGGGTGTGTGAGCAGGCTGGGCGCGCAGGAGGGCGCGGGTGCTTAGTAGTGGCTTGGCTGGGAGGCGCCAGCAGCCCTTCCCCTCCCTCAGCCGCTCCCTCCCTCCCGCTACTAAACCCAGGGCTTGCTACCCCGTGGCTCTCACTTCGCCAAGTGCCGCTGGAGTTAGCTTTCATCGTGGGTCCGCGGGTGCTCCAGCTCCATGGCGCTCCTCGTGCGGCTGCTGACCCTCACTCTGGCACTGGCTCTGGGTCCCGCCGGGACCCTTGCGGGCCCTGCCAAGTCTCCCTACCAGCTGGTGCTGCAGCACAGCCGGCTCCGGGGCCGCCAACACGGGTAAGTCCCAGTCTTTCTGTGGTGGGCGGTACAGGCACAGGCACTGAGCTGCCGCTGGTGCACCCCGCTGGGGATATCATCGTTGCCAAGGGCTCAGTGGACAAAGTCCTAAGGAAAGCCAGCCAGTGCACAAAGAGACCAACCCTGCAGGGAGGGAGGGACTGTAGGGTGATGACATGCGGGGACCCCCGCGGAACGCTTTGTGGCCAAAGGGTCACAGGACTGGCCAAGGGACCACAGAGTCCTCCCAAAGTGCATGAAGCAACCTAAGGGTTTCAGCCTCTTCTCCTGACTCTAGGTAGAAGGGAGCGTTGGCTGCTCTCCGTGCAGAATCACCACCAGCCTGAGACGGTACATACCGTAGAGGGAAGCCCAGACAGGTCACTGTTCAGTGACTCCAGGAGTGAGACTGGACACACCAGGTGGCAGGACCCTAGGTGCCCTAAACACCAACAGTGCGTTCTGGCCAGAGATGAAGAGCAGGCGAATTCACCACCCTTTATATGTGTTGGACAGATCAGGAAGGGACCAGCCTGTGCTGCTGTATGCCCTGGAGTCAGGACTGGGATCTGTCTTAAAGGGGCCACCGGCTTTGCAACTGTGGGCCGTCCGTGCTTCAGGTAGTCCTCTGAGATGCTGCTGATGTGTAGGCTTTAGGAGACACACTCTGGCCAAGGGTTTGCCCTGCTGAAGAGCCTGGCACAGACACAGTCTCCACGGTGTTTCTACACACAACCAGATCATGCCTGCTTCAACCACAGCCCGGCTTTGCTGCACTCCAGTCTACCTGGGTGCACCGCTACGGTTTGTACTAGGGGACACTATGGAGAGAGTAGAGTCATGGCTTGATGGGAGGCCGAGATGAGCCTGGTGTTCACACTCCAGGCTGTGCCGAATTCTCCATGAGACGAGCCAGATCTGTATTCAGATCTAAAGAAAAAAAAGCCATGTAGCTAGTGAGGGCTGTCTGTAGACCCAGACAAAACTGCACCCCTCAATACTGAGTATGCTCTGAACTTGCGTACAGGCTGCTATTTTAAAGGAGCAGTTACCCTTCTACTGCATATAGCTTTCGGATCTCATGAGCCTCCCAGGTGCTCCGTATTTGGGGGGCGGGAAGCTGCTGGGGGCAGGACCGGCCAATAAGCAGAACAGAGCCAAGCCAGGCCATGACTCACCATCACACCCTCCTGAAAGAAGTAAGGTGATGGAAAGGTCCTGGGGTAATTTTTTTTTCTTTGGTTTTGTGCGTGGAAGGTTGAGAGGGCGGATCAGAAAAATGCAGATTTGAAGTCTCAAAGCCGAACAATGATACAACTGGAGCGTCTATCATCCTTGCCCCGGTCACCTTCGGTCCTGCTGCTGTTCTTGCACGTTCAGTTTCAAGGGTTTTGTCCATCCTTCCTATTAGCCACCAACAAGGTCTCCACAGCGCATGCTGCAGTGTTGTCACCCAGAGCAGCAATGCCACAGCGACAGTGAAAGGTACCATGTAGGAGCTACCTCTGAGGCCAGCCTCCTTCCCTTCAGAGCCCAGGACGCTAATTATCAGGAAAACCGGAGCTTTGAAAACAAGACTCTGGCTGTGGACGAGTGAGGTGGACCCCAGAGCTAAGGGCCCTGCTGCTCGGCCTGATGACCCCCATGGAGTAAGAAAGCCAACCTCCCAAAATCATCCCCATGCTCACTGTGGCACGTGCTCCCTATCAAACACAAAACAAGTAGATGATTTAGCCTAGTTTCCCTGGGGTATCCCCTGTGCTTCTCTGGAAAACGTGTAGCAAGTAATCTGTGCTGAGCTGAGCCATCAGGAGATGACGTGTGCTGAGCGGGGTGACGCACGCCTCGAATCCCAGCTACTCCTGAGACTGGGGCAAGAGGTGGGCAATTTAAGGAGACCCTATCTCAAAATCAAATAGGAGAAAGACTGCAGCAGGAGCACCTCCTCCCCCAAGAGACTGTGGAAGTCCCGGTACACAGGCCATGGCACATGGCTGCAGGCATAGCTGCGTTTACTGTGTTCTAACTGTCCCTGAAGAACCACGGGACTGCCTGGCCTTGCACGCATGGGTGTGGTACCCTGGGCAGATGGATAACCTTGTTTCGGTTCCAACCCTTTATTCAAAGTGAGAGCTGGAGAAATGGGAAGTTAAGGGAGCATGGGGTGTTCCACAAGGGAAGGAAGTGCCATTGCACCTAGCCCCTGGGCAATAGCCCACAGTCACCCACCAACCCATCTGCATTCACCTTCCCACACCCCCAGCATAGTGAGAGCCCCTGTTTTACAGAGGGTGAAAATGATGCTTAGGATGAAAATGAGAAAGCTGGTAGTTGAGGGGAGGGGTTGTTGGGTGATCCATCGGCTCTCAGCTGTGTCTGTGTTGCTATTGGAGGATCGTGAACCAGTGCAAACGGAGTGAAAAGAGCAGCCACACCATGAACAGCATTACGAGGAGAAACTGGATGGAAGTTTTGGAAGCTCTTGGTCTTCAGATACAAGTCAGACTGTGGAGTTGCTGGTCTCACGGCAGAAGCCCAGAAATGGCCTGCTCGTTTCAATTACGTTTCAGCATAGATTTCCTGTGGACACAGCCCACCCCCACCCCCAGCTTCTGCTCCCGTCTCAGGGGCAGGAACAGTGGAAACTCACTCTGCGCAGGAGAGGAATGCTGGAGCCAAATCCACAGAGACTTGCTGAAGAGCTGCCGGCCGCCCATGGAGAGCTGTAGGGAATTCATCCACAGTAATTATTTCCTGCTCAGTTGGACAGGAGAACTTCTGGGATTGTGCAGCAGTGAGGATGATTTGGGGCTGGAGGGTGGGGGGTGGGGGGGTTATTCAAGGACTGTGAACCTCGTGGATGGCCGGCTGCAGAGCCTCTAAGCACCTGGTGGGACCCGGTTAGGATTGGCTATCATCTGTCAAGCTTGACCCTTCTCGCCTCGTCACTTCCCTGATGTCACGCCTGCTCTGTTCACTTACTAGTGAACAACTACAGAAAGCAGATGTATTCTTCAATGGAAAAAGAAACTGGGAGAAGTAAAGGGTCAGAATGAACAACCACACAAGCACCCAACTGCAGATGCTGCCCAAGTGATAAGGTGGCAGCTGTAGAGGCCCCCAGTTATCGTGCTCATCAAAGGGGTCTATGGAATCGTTAGTTAGTTAGTTAGTTAGTTAGTTAGTTAGTTAGTTAGTTAGTTAGTTAGTTAGTTAGTTTAACCAAAGTCCAGATTGCCTTCAAACTCACTATGTGGCCCAGGTTTGCTGCTTAGAACTCAGAGCAATCCTCCTGCCTCTGCATTGCATTTTGAAAGTGTTGAGAACTGCTGTTGAAGAAACTGCCCACATTTGAGTGCACCTGAAGCTGTGTGAACAAGGACATCTCGTAAACACACTCAGTCTGGCTTCTTTGCCTTTCTGACTTCTGATTCAGTCAGATGCCTCCTGCCGCCTGCTCAGGAACAGCCTCACCATTGTCACCACACAGCATGGCTGCTCCCTTGCCCTGGGAGCTCCAAAGGAGGACCCCCATCACCTGAACTGAACACCATGCTGGTTTTACTCAGTAGAAGGAAATACGTTCAAACAGCATTCTCCAACTCTAGAAAAGCCTTCTCAGCGTTTGCTTCTGCTTTCCCAGAGTTATTGAAGCTCTTTTAAAACTAAATTGTTATAAACCATTTCCAATGAGCCTGTTCCCCACTGACCTTACCCAGACCAAGAGCTCTTGTCTTTATGGTTCTTTTGAGGGTAGCTGGGGAGAGGGAACGTCCATGACATATCAGTCACAGGGTCCTCTTGGTACCCAGCACAAAATAAGGCCTGCACCCCAGGTTAGAATAAGGAAGGAAGCTTCTGGGATGGGGGAGTGGGGGAGCAGCTCTGAGCGATGGGCAGCAGAGAGTTAAGTGGCAGAGCCCTCGCTGTCATCCCCGACAGCAGCTGGCCAGGCACCCTGGTTTTGCAGGGTGGATACTCCAGAGTGCCGCCCCTGGAGCCAGGCAGCTGGTCTAGACACGCAGAGCATGTCTGTGGAACTGGCTGAGAAGTGCTGGAGGCCTTCCGCTCTTGACAACAGGACCTGTGGCTCACACTGGGATGCCAACTCTGTGCTCAGGGCAGGGACAGGTAGAGGAAGGCTGGCACATCTCAGCGATGTCGCTTGGGTCTTGCTCTTTTTCTCAGTCTGTAACCTGAACCTTTAAGGTGCTTTCACTTACAATTAATAGGACTTGAAGAATATGTTTGAGAAGAGGATTTTATGGCGACAGGGGATGGAAGATGTACAGTGTCTGTGCCAAATTTACCCCCACTGCACCAAAATGCCTGTATCTCCTCTCTCTCTAGGCCTCGGTGTAGACTGCCTTGCTGACCGTCTCACTAACACTGTTGCTTTTGTTTCTAGACCTAACGTGTGTGCTGTGCAGAAGGTCATTGGTACCAACAAGAAATACTTCACCAACTGCAAGCAATGGTACCAGAGAAAGATCTGCGGCAAGTCCACGTGAGTATCTGTAGCCACCTGAGACCACCAGCTGCCAAGGAGACCACACCATGTGTGTGTGTATTAGGGCTGCTGACAAGACTTGGTATGTCTATTAGGGCATTTTGGGGTTGCAAGGAGCATGGCGTGCATGCCTGTTTCAGTCTTCACTAAATGATGCAACTACTCAGAGGAGCTATGTGACTCTGGGAATGAAAAGCCTTTAGTGAACTTCTCTCAAAGGTCGCTCTTGCTGAGCAAGGGTTTACCTTGGGGTAAACACTTCAAAAAGTCTGAGTGGCTAGAAATTTGCACACAAGGAAGCAGCATGGCGAATTAAGACACAGGCTCAGACCCAAACTCAGATCCTGGCTCTGTGACTTACTTGGGGATGGTCCATCATTTGTATCCTCGGTTGTCTTGGGTGCAAAATGGACGCAGCCGAAGCACGTGCTGTTCTAGTGAGGGTTGAATTGGGTAAGATGCATAAAAGAAGGAATATGGTGCCTGCTAATGGTAACTTCAACCCCAGAGTATGCAAATGAGGTCCACACATACAGAAGAAAGGGTGTGCCCACAGAGTGTGGTGGTCACAGTAGGCCTCAGGGGTGCCCCTCTTCCTGGAGGGAGGCGGACTTTGCCCTTACTGTCTGCCTGCCTGGTAGAAGCAGTTGAACACATGTTCTAACAGAACTCTGGGAAACCTAGTCAGTTTTGGTACTGACAATTAACAGATCTCAGAGCTGAAAAGGGAGGCTGTGCCCGGCAAACCCTCTAGAGCCACTTGTGGGGGCCTCACTTTTCCCTTTTCCACAAAATGGGAAGATTTCCCTGAACTTGTCCCAGTTTGAGGCACTGTCTAAAATGTATTCCTTACGCTTTCAAGCAACCATCTCCAGCCAAGAGGAGGAAAATGCAGTGTGTGGCTCGGGTCATGTTAGGCAGTTTTTGATCCTAGTCTCACAGAGCAGAGCAGAGCAGAGCAGAGCAGAGCAGAGCAGAGCAGAGCAGAGCAAGACCTCTGCCCATGGCTGCAGCTCCTACCTGATGGACAGCCTCGCCGCTGAGAGGGGAGTGATTGGGACACCTCCCGAGTTCCGAGAACAGATACTCAGCAGACATTTTTGTTCTTTAGAAAGAAAAGAGATTATGCAAATTGTATGGAACATCCTTGCTGGACACCCAAGTCTTAAAAAACAATACCTCCAGTACTGATGGGCACACTCATAGGCATACCCGATCTCCTCAAGCGTTAATTGCTTAATTAAACGTGAAGTCAGGCCCAGCGTAATTGCTTCTTGGAAGATGACTAAAGTGCTGGTGCCAAGCAGCAGATCTCCATGTCAGAGCCTCAGGTTTTACAGAGCTCCTGTAAGCAAGCTGGCCACAGGGTGGCACTTGCCATGCTGTTTCAGATAGGCCTGGGTTATAGCATTTGACTGAGGAAGTCATGGTAACTTAGGGCATTCCTTGAGAGTTCCCAGACACACAATGTTGACTCCTCCTACCTGTGTCTCTTCTCCATGTGACAGGATGAGGTACAAGCCACAGGGGTGTAGTGAGTGGGACAGCCCTCTCACGCCAGTGAGTGCAGAGGCAGGGTAACCACCAGCTCCAGGAAGAGGAAGATGTATGGGGTTGTGGGTGGGAGAATGATGTTTGCAGTGGGTCAGTCAAGGCCCAAGGCCGTCCAGACTTTGACGTAACTCCCAAAGCTAAGAGGAAAAGATATTCACATCCAACTCCTGAGTGTGTTGCTGCTTTGGGAAGCCTCAATAAAAGAGGAAGTGAGTAGAAGAAAACACGAGTCGATTAAAAAAACAAAACAAACTTTACGATGCCAGATGGAACATCACGTGCGGCTTTGGCCTCAGGAAGGTGGAGCTGACTTGGAAGAGACCCAGGGGACAAAGAGAGGGGAAGAGGGAAAGACGGAATGCATCTGTGTGGTGCTACAGGGCTGAGCTTCACAGGACAGTCCTGTGCAGAAGAGAGAGGTCCCAAAGGGAGCTGCCTTCTGAGGATCACGTGACCACAATAAGTGCTAGGTGGGGGCCATAGAGGCTGGAGTTGATGTCACCCTGGGAGGCTGGGTTCCTAGAGGTACCTAGGGTGCCTTGGATGGTGACTGGGGGATAGAAGTGTAGTGTTTGGAGCAGGGGGCTGTCTTACAAGCCAGCATGGGCACTGGCATTTTCTCAGCAAGATGTCGGGGTGGGGGGGTGGGGGCTATGTCAGAAGTAGGTTCTGGGGTGAGAGGGGATGGATCGTCAAGGAGCCTGAGGACAGACGGTAAGCACCAAGCATGGAGGTAAAGATCTTGTCACGTGAGCTCACCAGAGATACGGAACAGGCCTAATGTGTCTGGAGCCTGGAACCCCTTATCTGTGCGAGTGTGGCTCTTGGGGCTGCCTTCTGGAGGGCAGAAGGTAACCCTACCACACTCAGCATGGTCCTTAGTAGGGAAGCCACTGGGACTTCTCACAGTAGCTGTCTGCATTTCCTGGGAGATTTCCTGCGCCTCGGGTGCTGTGTGTCAAAGTACCAAACTGTGTCGTGCTGATTTACCGCAGGACATGGTTGGCAGAGGATGCTGCTGTGGTGGCCTGGGTGAATTCTATCACTTGGAAATTCACTTCGGCTTTTACTTTACAGCCGTACAGTAGAGGAGCGACACAATAGCTAGTCAGACAAAGAGAGTCGAGGGTGACAGACCGCAGCCCGCTCTGTGATTTCAAGCTCTGGTTTGATAGGGAACCATAAAGTTTTTATGTGTGGCTCTAGAGAGGAGCCTGGCTGCTTCTCCGCAGGCCTCTTACGTGAGGATGGCGGGAGGTGGACAGATTGAAGGTGACATCAGTGGGATGTCACAGCCATGGTTGAAGGTGATGCAGAAGGACCAGTGTGGAAGCTAGCAGAGGTGGGTGATAGCAGGCCATCCCAAAGCTTTTGAATTGTTCCCCTGGCAGCATGATTCACAGATGAGAAGCCATTTTCTCTTGTGCCAAGATGAACTGGTAGGACACTCCCGTTTCTCCAGCATCTGGTATTGCCTGCCCTTCCGCCACACAGCAGTAGTTCCTCAGCACTGTGCTGGCAGAGATCCGACATCTGAAGCCAGCTGGGGCATGCTGGAACTGTCCCATCAGCTAGGAGGTCTTGTAGAAGTCATTGTGGCACAAAGATGGAAGCCATCCTTTTTCTCCCTCCCACGAGTCCCTTCACTTTGGTCCCAGAAGAGGGTGGTCAGAGCTGACTGCAGGGTCCCCTGACCACGCCCATGCATATTTCCTGTCCCCAGCCATAACCTGCTCTAAGATAGTGGAGCCTGAGCATACACCAGGCACCCAGAGTGGCAGTGCTTTCTAAAAAGTCTAGATGTAGACCAGTCTATAAACTAGGGGTCTGCTTAGCTGGTGTGGAATTTTGTTCTGTTGTATTGTGTGGGGTAATGATCCTCCAAAGATGCCCACATCCCAATCTGGAGCCAGGAAAGACGTTCCCTTATGTGGAGAAAAGAGGACATCACAGAAGTGGCTGCGGTGTCAATCTGAATTAAGTCTGGTGGAATTGGAAGGGTCCTTGTAAATGGGGGAGGGGCAGTAGAGTTAGAGTCAGAGAGAAAGGGGCATGCTGCCGAAATCCAAAGGTAGACGGAGTCCATCACAGGCTGAGGAATACAGCAGCCTCCAGAAGCTGAAGGGCAAGGAGGGGACTGTCCTCCCAGCTTCTGAAAGGAATGTGGCCTTGGATATTAGACCCAGGAGGCTTATTTTCTGTCTCTAACCATCAGAATTGTAACACAATAAATTTGTGATATTTTAAACCATCGAGTTTGCAGTAATCTGTCACAGCAAACTATCAGAAACTAATAGCAGCCCTTGCAGCTGTTTTTATAGCTATCACAATGTGATTTGATCTGTGGTCTCATGTAGGGTTTTAATGAAGCTATGGTTGTTATATTAGATTATAACTGAGCTTCCATTTCAACATTTGGGGGGAGGCGATCTTTTTGTCTGTTTTGTTTTAGAAGCTCCATTCAGTGTACTTAGAATATAGCTCACATTGAAGGGCTTCACATATGTTTTCCAATTCAGTCCCCACAGTCAATCTCTGACCAAGTAGTGTGGGATTATTAAAAAGAAAAAAGAAAAGAAAACCCCACTTGCTGATGGGAATACTGAGGCTCCAGAAGCCTACACATCCAACTGAGAGTCTTCTGTTGAGAAATGGGGAGGTCTGTCTCTCTGTAACATTCCCAGGGAGAGTCAAGCCTGGCAGCTAGGGTCAGCAATGCCAGTCTAGGTGGGCTGTCCCTGGCTTCTCTTTACAGGCCAGATCACAGAAACAAATCTCTTGGCATCAGAGACACGGTTGGGGCCGGTCACTAGTCACCTACAGGCAGCCTACAGGTGGTCCTTGTGATGACTGACTTGAGGCTAAGCACCAAAACCTCTCATTGGACAATCGACACAGGATCTGGGGGACACAGTCTGCCTCCAGCAGCCACCAAACCGCTCTCCCATCCATACGGAAAATGCCATCAGCTCACGGTCTGAAGTCGTCTCAGGCCTCACTAGGCCCCAAAAGCTTCATGGCACAGGCTTTTTCTGGGGCACAGTCGGCTAGGAAAATCCCTGATTTCCTACTGGAAATTTCAAGAAGTGCTTTAGCCCCTGTATGCGGAAAATGAGGCAGTTGAGGCTGGGGCATGTCCATAGGTAGATGCCATGAGTGTGTGGATCATCCCAGCGGAGTGACATGGTGACACTCCTTAAGTCCCCACCACAGGAGGCTGAGCTCAGGGTCTGCTCCTCACTCCGCCTTCTCCCCAGCCTTGTTAGCCTCCTGCCACTTGCAGCTGGAGCAGCAGCCAGACCATGCTGCACATTCGGGAGAGTGAATGTTTTACATTTATATTAACTTAGTGGCAAACAAATTTGGGGAGAAATTAACGAGACACCTCCTCATCCAACCCGAGTGCAAACACCAGATCTGGGTGGGGAAGGGCATCCCAGCACCCCCACACTTTAACTTTGTGTTAACATTATATCCCCACATTCCTCCTTTAAGCCAGGCATCTCTCCTCCTTTCCATTCTGTCCTGAGCAGCTGGAACAAGGTAGTTGGTAAGTCATTGCCCTGGAGCGTGTGCTTATTCCGGCCTGTGGTTTTTACATACTACACTGTGTGTGGCCAAACCAAAGCCAGAGGCCTTTCATCAGAATCTAGCTGATGAGACGAGATGCAGAGAGCGGCAGCCTGGTCCTTCCTGTGGAGGGACATCTGGGCACTGGCATGCAAGGAGAGGCACCCATAGACTCCATCCTTCTCTGTTGGATCCTAGAGAGGTGTTCCCAGTCTTAAGTTCTGTGCTTACGAAGCCTGAGTGTTCTCCAGGGAGAGCCTATGTAGAATGGAGCGTGGCTCAGGATGGGTAGGACAGCCCGCTGAAGAGACTGCCAGCTCAAAAAGTCCCCATCAAGATTGCCCCAATAGCTGCCTTCTCTGTCAGCCATCTTCAGCTGTCCTCTGCTCCCTTGGACCCAGGTGGGTTGGTTCTGAGAAGGGCTTATATCATCTAGTTATCTAGGAGCAAGGAACCTGCAGATGACAGAGCCTTCTCAGTCCATAAGGCTGACGTCCTCAAATAGAGGGTGTGGCCTAAAGCTATACTCCCAGAGAGATATGTGGAAGGACTTCCAGAGAACCCAGGAAGGAAAGGTCTCCAGGGCAAGAAGATTTAAAAAGGCTTCCCAGCAAAGAGCTGTGCTTGGTTACAGAGCAAAAAGCCTTTGGCTGGAGACGGTTTTACAGTCTCGGAGATGAACCTTTGCTGTGAGGAGCATGGTACAGAAGCCTTCCACGCATGACAATAGGGTACTGTCTGGACCCTGTGACAGTACCCTGTCAGGCGCAGGGAGCCCACCAAAAAATACTTGGCCTTGAACACCCAGGAGGCAAAACCAAATCCATCTGCTTCTTCCAGGCGTGCGCATGGTTTAGAGCAATGGTCAAGGCCTTGATGAGAAGGGAGAAAGCCCCAGGGATGCCCCCACCTGTCTGGGTTCTCAAGGACCCCACAGCTTGCTTTCCTAGTCCAAGCTAAGTTGCCCTGTTCTCCTGAGACTGTTCTGCTGGGGTCTGTCCCTTACCCCTGGCCAGTCTCCCCATGCCAGTCTCCGCCCCTCTCCTACACACATGCATGCATGAACACACACGTACACACAGGTACACATACACTCTGGGAGGTTTTCTTTCTCTTCACTGAAATTCTGGTGAGGCCATCCAAGCTGTTCAGCTGTCCTTTGGTTTGGTTCAACTCAGAAACTAAAATTTGGGGAGCAGTCTTCGAGAAGGGTAGCTGGGAAAGTGACTAAGTTGGGGTGAAGGTTTTACCTAGTTCCACCTCCCCAACTCCAGTCATAGGACCCTGCTATTGTTCTTACCTTCCTTCCTTCCAGGACCCTGGTATTGTTTTTTTCCTTCCTTCCATCCTTCTTCCCTCCCTTCCTTCCTTCTTTCCTGTGTGTGTGTGTGTGTGTGGGTGTGCTTATGCAGAGGTCAGAGTACAGCCCACGGGCATCTGTAGGGTCTAAGGATCTAACTCAGATCTCCATGCTATCTGGGGTGGTGTGTATGTGGCGGGGGGCAGGGGAGGCACTGAGAGCAGGGTCCTGGTGCTGTAGGCTCAAAGCCTGGGGAGCTCCCTGGGTTTAGTTGGGCAGTTGGCAGTCGCTGCTTGTCTTGGAGCATGTTTCTTTGCTGTTAGGTGTCCCTCAGGTTACAGAGATAATTATGCTGAGGCCGAGGGATCATAGATCAGCTGGTTTAACTATGCTTTACTCTGTGGGCCAGAAAACAGAGACCACAGAGAGAAGTGGGTTCCCACTATTACCCCAGTGGTTGGGAGGGACCCTAAGGCGAGCCACCTCAAATGGACAGCTTTTCCTAAGTGTCAGTTTAGCTCCTTAAGCACAGGGATTCAAGGTAAGAAGGAGCAGATGGGAGGCGGGCTTCCGAAGAGAAAGCCAGAGGGTGGAGAGAGCAGGGCACAGAAAGATGGCTAGCTCGCTCTTCCTCAGTCTTTGGTCTAGCCAAGTGACACCTGCAGTTCCCTGGTGGTCTGAGACCTGAACCATCCCCTCTGTAACAGACGAATCAGGCTTCATCTTCACTTCACTAACTCTTTCCTGACCCGATTCCAAATGAATTCACAAGAGCCAGATGCTGGACCCACGTCATAGCCAGCGGACTCCTCCACACACACCCTACCCCAGGGCCACATTCCTTCCCTGCCGCCTGCCTCTTTCCCGATGATGTCATCGATACAAGAACGAGACTGACAAATCTCTCCTATGGAAAGGGGGGAAACCGGCTTGTTTGCTTTTGGCTGCAGGCCTTGGGGGAGGGGAGGCAGCCAGAGGCTGCACACCTGTGGGCAGATTTCAGCACAGCACTTCACGCTCCCTCAGCGGCAGCATGAACCGCTATTTGAGACCTTGAGGTTTGAAACCTTGAGGCTTCCACGGAGCACAGGGTTGACCAAAGCTTGTTCTGGGACATGCACACAGCGACCTGTGACGGGCTCCTTGGAGGAAGGAGAGCAGACAATCCTTCATTTTCTAAACAAAAGCTTTTAGAGTGCCCTGCACCTCTTGTGTCCATCCAAATGCAGAGGATCTTGCAAACTGGGGGCTTTGGCTACCTCCTCCTGGAAGGATAATGGGAAGGTTGAAGATGAGGGTGGCAGGGGATAGTTTGTAAAGAGCCGTTAAGATATTTTAAGTTTAAAACCATAAACATATTTTAAATAAGTTTTTAATGTGAATAAATAGAAAAACCAATGTCTTTATCAGGAGACACTCTGTTTTCATTTGAAACCTGATTCCTAAAAACTGAGAGAACACAGTGATTGCTCATACCGACTACTGGGTTATTGAGTCAAATCCTGAGCTAGCAGGAGAGAGACACCCTCTACCCCGCACATGTGCATTTTACACACAAGGTTGCTGAGACCCGGAGAAGAGTGGGACTACAAGGGTGACGTAAGCTCAGCTCCCAGCAAGGCAGGAGTCTGTAATGCTCCTAGCTCCTTTCCCAGCTCACCATCCTTCCTGTTCCCTGTGCATGGCCTTTGGAGGTCCATGCTGGGGGCTTTTGCTTCTGCTATTGAGTGCTGCCTTCTCCCGGTTTCCCGGCTGATTGGCTGCTGCTTTTGGCAACCATCAGAGGCATTCTACAAGGCTGAGGAGTGAGAAGTGCCTCATACTGATCAGACAGAGCCTGCGCTGTCCTGGGGAAGGATGCTCTCTGTGTTGCCCGTCTCTCGTGCCGCCCCTGTGACATTGCTGCCCAGAGAACATCCTAAAGGAAGAGGGGTGTGCAGCCCGTCATTACTCGTGTGTCTGTCTTTGCAGAGTCATCAGCTATGAGTGCTGCCCTGGCTATGAAAAGGTCCCAGGAGAGAAAGGCTGTCCAGCGGGTGAGTGAGCCAGGTACTGCCTGTAGGTGGGTGGGGTAGAAGGGCAAGATAGAAGGAAGAAGTACCATGTTTAAGGCAGTAGAGTCACAGCAGGGTGGGGAGCGTGAGGTTAGATCTCACTGGGTACCCACTGGGGCCATGAGGTGGCAGAGGAAGGAGGGTGAAAACAGTACCTCTCCAGTACTTCACCTCACCCTCACCCACAGGAGTGGAGAAAAGCTCTCTCTAATCTTCCTGGCTTCTTCCCAGTGGTTGCAGGCTCTGGCCTTGTCATTGGTGCTGCCAGTGATTCTCAGAGCATACAACAAAGCTGGCCTATTAGCCTGTCAGGTTGCTCTTAGCCATGCTGGGGATCAGGCAGGATAACATGGCCCCTGACCTGTGTCTGCAGCAGGAGAGCAGCACACTTAGATGGGTTTTCTCATAGGCAGCAAAAGATTGGGCCAAAGATGGCACGATGCCTGTGGTGCCGCTCAGCAGTCATATAGGGTTTATGTTTTGCTTTAGCTTTGAGATTCAAGATAGCTTTAAAGTTAAGATGTGAAAAGAAACGTAAGAGAGAAAGGAATTTGGTTTAGTGTCGAGATCACGACAATGTGGTTAGTGTTGCCAGGGCCATGTCAAGGAGAAGGGCAGTTGAAGGAATAAAATGGGGTAAGGATAGTTTCAAGTTGTTTACATATGAACAGTAGTCTGTGAATGGTGGCCCCAACTGTTACTCAACCCTCAGGGAGCTGAGTCAGGAGGCTCACTGTGAGTTGAAAGGCAGCCTGGGCCTACATAATGAGTCTGTCTTAGAAAGCCAGTAAGTAAGCATTCCAGCTGCCACCTAAGAGAGCCCTTTTCAAATGCAGGCAGGTCCTGAAAACTACGCAGGAGACCTGGGGGATTTATAGTCCTTTCACTGTATCAAACATGTTAGGAAACAAGTGGGGATTGCTAGGGAAACCTTAAGACGGGCTTGTAATTTCCCACCCATCTCCACCTGCTTTATCTAAATGCACAGGAGCGAAAGCATTGCTCTGCTATGCTTAAAACAATTATAAACTTGGGGGTTACCCATTAGGCTGCTCCACACAGGGAGCAGCCCGGACTTCCTGGGCAGTTCTAAGACGTATGTGAGTTTTAAGCACCTCCGTCAACAGGCTCTCTCATCCCTCCTCCCCTTTCTCTGCAGTTGTGCCCACTGTCCCCTCTGACAAAGAAGCAAGGGCAGGTGTGTGTCTATGATGGCCTCACACATGTCCGTCTGTCCTCTGCCTCTGCAGCTCTTCCACTCGCCAACCTGTACGAGACCATGGGAGTTGTGGGCTCCACCACCACCCAGCTGTACACAGACCGCACAGAGAAGCTGAGGCCGGAGATGGAGGGACCGGGCAGCTTCACCATCTTCGCCCCCAGCAACGAGGCCTGGTCTTCGTTGCCTGCGGTGAGAAGAGCCTCTTGATCAGAGGAATCCTTTCTGCTGAGGCCTGAGTACAGAGTTCCATAGCAACCTTCTGCTATGTCAGACCTCACTTCCCTTAATCTTTCCTCTCTGACCCCCCTCCCCAGCCTCCCAGGGAAAACTAAAGCAGACCTTCCAGGTGCCTCCCAGTGCCTTTGTCCTTCTCCTCCCCCGGATGCTCACTAAAGGGGGCTCCTCTGGTAGAAGAGAAGTCTGGGTACCCTTGGAGCAGAGGCCTTTTCTTTGAGCACACCGTCTCTTCACTGTCCCACCCCTTCTTTCTAGGAAGTGCTGGACTCTCTCGTGAGCAACGTGAACATTGAGCTGCTCAACGCCCTCCGCTACCACATGGTGGACAGGCGGGTCCTGACTGATGAGCTGAAGCACGGCATGACCCTCACCTCCATGTACCAGAACTCCGACATCCAGATCCATCACTACCCCAATGGGGTAGGTGCATCCACAGTCTCCGAGCACTGTCCTCTGTCCACAGCGAGCCCGCCTCTGGCCCAGCTGGGGTGTGGCTTTCTAGGGTCCTGTCCTGTGTTATGAGACAAGCCCTTGCCTCCTGGGTCTTCTCTACAGACCCTCCCACACACATTCTTCTCCTAGCTGTGGGCCCCCCTCCTGTCTCGCCTTCCTCTCGTTTTACCCCCTCATCCTTGCTTCTTCTCGGCCAGATTGTCACGGTTAACTGTGCCCGGCTGCTGAAAGCTGACCACCATGCGACCAACGGTGTGGTGCATCTCATTGATAAGGTCATTTCCACCGTCACCAACAACATCCAGCAGATCATTGAGATTGAAGACACCTTTGAGACACTCCGGGTAAGGGGCTGCTTTGAGTAGAGGCCCAGGCTGGGGACACACGGCCTCTCCAAAGGTGCCTGTTAAGGTGGCTTCTGCAGGAGGACTAAGGAATGAGCACTGGGCCTGCCCCACTCTGAGCAATGGCCCTGTTGTGAAGCTTTCTTTTCCTTGCCTATTCTGGATAATTCAGAGGTCCATTACAGCCTTGAACTGTACAGTCCAGAAGTGGGAGGGCCCTCCTTCCTGATGCTCCTTCCCACACAAGGAACTGTTACAAATGGCTTGTCAACCAGCGTGGTGCTTCTAGACATAGATCCCAGCTCGGAGCCTCACACCCATGTTTCTGTGGGATGTAGACCTAGCAGGGGAGCCACTGTTGTGGACACCGGAGTGTAGGCTCTGACTATAGAGCTGGATCCTGACTATCCTCCAGCCAAAGCACATGGCTAACGACTGAAGGCGGGCAGTTCCTGTTGGCACTGGCCATGCAGGAAGAAGTGAGCACAGGCTGCCCTGTCAGGGGTTTTGCCTGATTCAAGAACTTCCTAACCACAAAGTGCACAAGTGGGAGTGGGGCGGCCCCTCCCTGGAGATCTCCAATACAGACACAAACATACTCCAACATGGGTACAGAGGGTCTTGGCATTTGGGGATCGGTCTTGGCTGGCTCAGGGGACACCAGGGAGGCTGTCTCCCTGCCTTTCTTCTGGGTCTGCAAGGCAACATCACCCAATGTTGACAGCACAAACTTTCATTACCAGCACTGAGTACTATTGAGTAGCTTCCCCTAACTGTGGAAACTGACAGAAAAAAAATTCCTCTCTCTTATTCTTCTTGGCCCCACCCGCATATCCATTTTTCCTTCCAGCACATACTTCTTAAACATTGTCACTCCCCGGATCTAGGTGCCAGGGGACAGAGTGAGCAAAGTGGCTTCCATCCTTTCTAGGGAGACAGATGAAACTTGCACAGACAAAACACTTGAGCTTGGGGGAAATGAATGGTGGGCAGTGTAGGCCAGGAGGGATGTCCAGTGTAGTCCAGGAAGTATGGCTAGTGTAGACCAAGAAGGATGGCCAGGAAAGCCTTCTTTGGAAGAGATGCTTTGAGTAGTGAGGTGCAAAAGATGAGAACATCCCAGCTGCTAACACCCCTGCAGAATCTCTGCTACTGCAGGGCAGCATGGAGGAAGCCTGTGGGTTGAAAATCCTGCAGGCCTTACCAATCAGGAGGAGGCCCTCTATCAGGGACCAGTGAGAGGTACCTCCGGCTGTTAGGATATTGTTCTAGATGCTGTGTTACCCTGAGTCATGTGATCTTTATACCACGTAATCCCTGATATGGGATCACTACTAACTGTGGGATTACAACTGTGGGTCTGTGGGAGACATGACCGTCAGGCTGATGCTCATCCGGGAACCTGTGCCAAGAGGAATGGCATTTTGGTCAAGGTTTGAAAGAATAGGAGTCCAAGAAGCAGAGAAAGAGGGGCAGGGAGAATTGTGGGGATAAAGGCCCAGAGGTCGGAAGGAGAGAAGTCACTCAACACTTGAAAGATGACCAGCACGGCCGGAGCACAGTCCAGGGCTGTGGAGCCCATGTTAAGATAGAACTTCAGCCAGGCTTCTTTCTCTCTCTCTCTCTCTCTCTCTCTCTCTCTCTCTCTCTCTCTCTCTCTCTCTCTCTCTCTCTCTCTCTCTCTCTCTCTCTCTCTCTCTGTCTTTCTTTCTCTCTCTCTCTCTCTCTCTCTCTCTCTCTCTCTCTCTGCATTCCTCTAAGTGTCTCCAGTCCCCAGGGGAGGTAGAGCCAGGGTGTGGGCACCTCAGCAGGCTTAAGAAGCACTTATCTTCCCTCCCCCCACAGGCCGCTGTGGCTGCATCAGGACTCAACACCCTGCTGGAGGGTGATGGACAGTTCACATTCTTAGCCCCAACCAATGAGGCCTTTGAGAAGATCCCCGCTGAGACCTTGAACCGGATCCTGGGTGACCCGGAGGCCCTGAGAGGTGAGCACCCTCAGCTCAGGGCAGCCCACCTGAGCACAGGCCAGTGCTGGTGACACAACCTTCCGGGTGTCCGCTGCAACCCTGGTTTGTCACTCCCAGCAGCCGTGTCTCTGTGCAAGCCATGCAGAGCCAGTGCTGGGAGTCCCCAGCTGACCCTGGCCAGATAGAGGAAGCAACTGGAGTGGCCCAAGCGTTAAGCAGCTTGGAGGAATCGAACATGTGGTGGTTGGTGATGGCATCCTTCAAGTGGAATCATCATGGTCACCTTTTGTCTTCCTGTGTCTGGCCAGAGGCCTCATGGATAACCAAAAATAATGGTTATGGATCAACCGTCAGTTGATTTCCATTGCTGGTTCCCTCTTTCAGCTCCTAAGTTAGGCATGGGAAGTAGATTAGGAGCCCTCTGCCCCCCTTCTCTCACCTGATCACTTTAATTCCAGGACTTCTAGAGGATTACTGGTACTAAGCTGCCTCATGAACCCCTAGACCCTGTAAAATGCACCCCGCTTACATCCTTCCCCCCAAATGTCACTAGGAGTGACTTCATTTAAACCTACCTTGGCAGTGTGCCATTTAAGAGGCCTGATGCGTTACAGACACCCTGCAAATCTGAACTCTTCAGGCCAGACACGGGAGGAAAGGGACAGTTTGGAAAACACAGATGGGCCTTGGGCTGGGACCTGGGGCCCCACAGTGAATCTTCCAGGAAGTTAAAGCCTGGTGGGCAGCAGGCCTCAAAACAGGCTATAGCATGATCTGGTGAGTTCAGTGAGGGGGAGGGAAGGGCTAGAGTCCATAGCCTCCAGGGCTAGGGACGCTTCCTGGGAGTGTCGGTTGCATCTCAGCACATATGCCTGAGATAACCAGATGGCAAAGCGAAAAGATTTCCTTTGGCTCACAGTCTTGGATGTGTTATTTCATGATCACTTGGCCCCATGGCTTTCAAACCTGTGGCTTTGGGGCAGGCACTAGCCCTAGCTTTTAATAGATGTCACCATCTCCCAATAGCACCACCCTGGGGCCAAACCTTTAACATACAGCCTTTGGAGAGGGGCATCAAGCATCCAAACTATAAGATGCCTTAAAAGATCTTTTGTACAGAGCACATTTTTACATGCATTGATATCAGAACTCATTGTAGACCCTAACAGATGCTTTTTGCTTATCTGCTTCTTCTAAGCAATCACCAGTTTGCTCCCAGTAGGGCCCTCCCCTCTGCTGCCACAGACACAGACCTGAAGGAGGCGGGTTGAGGTCTGCATTGCCCTGTCTCCTCTCTAGGTGGTTGGCAGGCAAGCAGGAAATAGCCCTAGGCAGCCATACCTTCTCTGAAGCCTTGCTTCTGGTTCTGGCCTCCTCACCTCTGCATGGCCCCTACTTCACCCCAGGAGTTTAGTTTCTTCTCTAAGAAGCACAGTTCCTCAGAGGCCTCATTCTTATGGGGTCTTCTTGTTGTTTTAAGACAGGGCTCACTATGCAATAGAGGCTGGCCTCAAATTCAAGGCAATCTTGCCCCCAAGTGCTGGTATTACAGGCATACCTCCACTCTTGGCCCCACACAGTCTTGTCCCTTTTCTACTGACTGAGATGGGTCAGTACTGGCTTTCAGAGCCCATTTCCAGCATCCTGAGGCCTCAGCCAGCCTCAGAGCATCTGCCTAACTGTGACAGGGAAGTTTTGGTTCCCACACTCAGTGCTAAACCAAACTTGCCTGGGTGTTGAAGCTGAGGCAATGGAACTTGGAGACACTAGAGAGCAGCAGTCTGGGGACCTGGGGTGGAAGTAGGGTGTGTTCTTGACTGGACCTTGCTGCTTCCTCTGCACACAAGAATGCCTGAAAGCCTGCTTGGGTGTGGGTAGGGAGACTTCAGCTTCTGAGCACCCCAAAACACATCTCCAAAGTAGCACCCAGACACATGAGTGAGCAAGGCGCATCCTCTAAGACAAGACATATGGAGCTGTTGATATAGACCCCAGCCTTCTCCCTTCAAGTCTGTAGCCATCGCCACAAAGGACAGGGCCCAGCTTTGCGCAAACCAATCACTGCACAGCTACCCTTTGGGGACAGTGTGCATCATTTCCTGCCTCATTCTAAGCCTTATAAAGGCCTAAGACCTAAAAGACCCGTGTTGGAGGTTTCCCCTTCTCCCTGGCCCATTAGGAGACTTCACCCCGAAGCCCAGGGCTCGGGGTGAATGGCTGCTGTTTCTCTGTTGAAGAGAGGTTTACATTGCAGGTCCAGGAGACAATGTCAGCCTCATCTGTTTACTCATGAGGAGGCTAAGTGGCTGGCCCAGGATTCCACAGCTGGTCAGCAGCCAGAGAATTTGAGCTCAGGAGGTCTGACGGCAAAGTTTCAGTGGTGTTAGCTAGTGAGCATTAGCAAGAGATGGGGATGGACACCCTGTGGTACTCCAGCGGAATCCTCAGCTGTGGGCAGACTCAGAGCTGGCCCCTGTAGATAGGCCTCAGCAAGCTCTAGCCCTGTGTCCTGTCCCGCCGCAGACCTGCTGAACAACCACATCCTGAAGTCAGCTATGTGCGCTGAGGCCATTGTTGCTGGGCTGTCCATGGAGACCCTGGAAGGCACCACCCTGGAGGTGGGCTGCAGCGGGGACATGCTGACCATCAACGGGAAGGCTGTCATCTCCAACAAAGACGTCCTGGCCACCAACGGGGTCATCCATTTCATTGACGAGCTGCTCATCCCAGATTCAGGTAGGTAGGCTGCAGGGGCCTCTGACTTTCCCAGCTTCCTCTCCATTCTGACACCCCTGGTGATGTGGCCAGGGTATTCCACAATATTTTGGGTGACTTCCCACCCTTGGTGCAGTACACAGCCCTGTACCTTCTGTGAACCTGGGAGCCATGGGTCTAGATACTATCTTGAGGCGATTGGAATATTTTAAGGTACCTAAGGAGGGAAGGAGCCACTATCTGAGAGCCCTTTCTGCCTTTCATGCTGTGGTCGAGCACAGAGGGGCATTTGCTGACATCAGCATTTGCTCTCCTTAAAGAACCCAAGGCCACTGACCCAGGGAAGATGACAGTCTGGACTTTGTTCTCCACCTAGCCTGAGAGTGGGAATTTCTCAAGAAAGAATCCAGTCTCTTCCTACGGGTGTATCTTCAGAAGCAGCCACACAGGCCATGGCCGCTTCCTCTCCAGAGTCAAACAGGTCCTGGCCGAGCCACAGTGAGGCCCAGGACAGTGTTGCCTGCTGCCAGATGACTCTCGCCTTATCTCCCAGCAAGCTAGGTTTTTTGATGACACAGGCATGCTGGGCTCTGCTCTGTTTAGGAGGCTGGGGGTCTTCAAGATTAGAGGTTCCTGCTGATGTCAGTCCCTACTTTGGGGTTGACCATGACATGTACACACACGGCCCGTTACCTTTTGAACTTCATTTCTTCTTCCTGTAGCCAAGACATTGCTTGAGCTGGCTGCAGAATCTGAAGTCTCCACGGCCATCGACCTCCTCAGACAGGCTGGCCTCAGCTCACATCTTTCTGGGAAAGAGCAGCTGACCTTCCTGGCCCCTCTGAATTCTGTGTTCAAAGGTAACATGGGGAAAGCACTCTGCTGTTCTGTGGTCTCTGGGACAGCTGCCCCATCCCTACAGCACTGCTCTGATTTACAACAGCTTTGGACCCTTCCACCCACCGAAGTCCAAAGCAGATGTGACTGTATCGGAAACTTTGGACTGCCCCTTGTTTATCTGAAACAGCCAAGAATGTATTGGGGTTCTTTTCCTCAGAACTCAGTACTTTGCATCTGTCAGAAGAGCAGAGCAGGCCTCAGCTTTTTGTTTGCAGGGCCAACATCAGTGTATATGGGCAGAGGTCAGCTGAGCTGCTGTCATGGGGTCAGCAAGAAAGACCCTCTCCTCCTTCTGAGAGCAAAACAACAAACACCCTCAATAGCTGCACCTATCTTTTTCTATGCTAGATGCCGAATGTTAAGGGGTTTGGCGGCCACCCTACTTTCTGTCTTCATTTCCAAACCCCAGAGGGATGGGCTTTCTGCCATACATGTGTCTCTTAGCATCCGTTTCACCTCAGGAGCCCATCTCTCTGGGTCTGTCCACTCCTCTGCTTGCAGATGGCACACCTCACATTGATGCCCAAATGAAGACTTTGCTTCTGAACCACCTGGTCAAAGAACAGCTGGCCTCTAAGTATTTGTACCACGGACAGACGCTGAACACACTGGGCGGCAAAAAACTGCGAGTTTTTGTTTATCGAAATGTAAGTTCTAACTCATGCCCCTTCTTTGGCTTTTAGCTCTACAAAATGTGTGTGTGTGTGTGTGTGTGTGTGTGTGTGTTTAAGTTCTCAGTAGCCAAGAGCTTATGTAAGAGCTGGCTTCTAATAAAGGGGAAGCAGTTTCTGGAAAGTATGCATGATGCTGGCTGACACTTCCTTTCCTGCAGGCTTGGGGAATGAGGCTCAGACCTAACTGTATTGCTGAGCAGTGAGGCTACCTAGGGACTCAACAGGATGAAAAGGGAAAAGGGGGTGGAGATTGTGAGCCTTTCCAGGCTTATGTGAAGAGAAGCCTGGTGAAGCTCAGCTCTCCTCGTTCTAGGACCTTTCCATAGCAAATAGGAAGTTCAAGGTGGCGTTGTTCCTGGCCAGGGATCAAACGGGACCACTTGACCAAAGATGTCCAGTGGCCAGTGAAATCAAACAAGTGGTCAACTGCCCTCTAGCCCATCTATTTGGCCTTTGTCATTGGACCTCTTATGAGCTTGACATTGTCATCTAGTCCCTGTGTAATTTTATCAGAACCCTCGTGCCCATGCTTCCTTGGGGAACACCTCATTACCATTGGCTTTGAACAAATCTGGTGGCCCCTGCCTGAGAGGATCGCCATCTTCTTCTCTTTGCCCCTCCTCTGCGCAGAGCCTCTGCATTGAAAACAGCTGCATTGCTGCCCATGACAAGCGGGGCCGGTACGGGAGCCTGTTCACCATGGACCGGATGCTCACCCCCCCAATGGGGACCATTATGGATGTCCTGAAGGGAGACAACCGTTTTAGGTAACCAGTCTCACCCTAGCTTCTGCCACGTGCTCCTGCTGGACCACAGCTCTTTTATCCTACTGCCCAAAGGGTGGCAAAATGCCAGTGACATACTGGTGTGACCATCCACAGTCGGGGTGTGGTGAGGATAAGGGTCTCCTTGAAACCTTAAGTTGGGAAGCAGGGCTCTGGATAGCGGTATAAGCCTCACACTCATGGGAGGGGGGAGGACACATCTTTATTACTAAAACACAAGGCTAGCACTCATACCAGAAAGTCGCTAGTGAGCTAAGGGGCTTTAGGGGCCCCCTCTCTCTCTTTCTGCATTTCATTTATTGGCAGCTAAGGCCACTGTGCCACTCTGCTTTCTTGCCCTGCTCCCTCTGTTTCTGACTTGCTAGTACTCCGGGGCTGGACCCCTGCCTCCCAGTGGGTCACACACTCACACTCGGCAGACACTGCTTTAGCCAGTTCTCACTTCTCTTCCCTTCATCCCCTCCGGCCATTTTTCTTCTGCATGACATTCCTGCTCAGTTGTAAAGTACAACCGTCGCTCCTGGCATGAGATGCAAACTGTCCCTTTCCTGGTGTTTGTCCACAGCATGCTGGTGGCTGCTATCCAGTCTGCAGGCTTGATGGAGACCCTCAACCGGGAAGGGGTCTACACTGTTTTTGCTCCCACAAATGAAGCTTTCCAAGCCATGCCTCCAGAAGAACTGAACAAACTCTTGGGTAAGGAGCAATTGAAAGCAGATATTCCGACTTTTCTGAAACAGTGGTATTTCCGGGCCATAGCAGCATTCATGTGATGCATTGCGAAGGGATTTAGTGATTCGGCTGTATTGTAGACATGTGGGCAGCATTAAGGGGAACAGCTAACAGTGGCAATGGTGGAAAATGGGGTGGAAAGGGGGCAGAAACCAGGGAAACTTTGGACAAAGGACACAGAAAACAGCCATAGCCATACAGTCATAGTAGGACCATGGCAAAGGCGGGGTATGGCACCCTTCCTTCCCTCCCTTGGGCCGGTTGGCTTTTAGCTGTTTATAGGAGGGCAGAGGTGCTAACACTCAGCTTCTGTGGGCACAGTGCCAGACGAAAGGAAATTAGACCAATGACAGTCAGTCCAGTCCCTGAGCTGTGCTTTCCACTGGGGATCTGAGATAATGAAAACACTTGCCCTTATTAAATGTCCTCAGAGATTAAAAAAGCCTTCCTTGGGAAACTTAGCTGAGGGTGGTGCCTGAGAACGTAGGTTAGGTGAGCCCTGGTTGGCCTGCTGAGCCTCAGTTTCCCCATTAGAAGAATGAAGTCGGCAAGGATCCCTGGCTCGCTATGATACAGGCTGAATGTAGCACACAGGACAAGGCACACATGTTCCATTAATAGCGGTGATGACAGTGAAATGGGATGGAGAGATGGGCTTTAGCTCTGGTGCATGCCCGCCCTCCCAGCAAGGTGAGCCAGGGAAGGAGGGAAAGAGCGAGCAGGAAAGCAGCTTAGCCAGCTGGGGAACAAACCTTGTTTATGCATCCCTGCCTGCAGGAGAATGGAAGGCTCAGATTGCAGTCAGCAAGGAGCTAAATTTGCGTCCTGTTTAATTTTCTTTATTGCCAAGCAAATGCCTGTGTCTGGTGCTGACGCAGGTTCCAGAGACAAGGGGAGAAGTTCACTGAACATAAACTTCCCATCCCCTCTCAGCCCTGAAAGAATGGAATATCTCCCAGGTGGCCTGAGCCTGCTCAAATTCCCTCCTTTCCAGTTGTATGAGAGTGGAGGAGGGGTGTAGAGGAAGTCCTCCCACCCCCCAAAAAACCCCTCAAGTCCTGGGGGCAGAGTAAATGGGACCTGGGGGAGGAAGGATGGACTTGGTGTGGAGGACCCAGACAGGAGGCTCTGTCTTCAGGAGACTGGCTTCGTCTTGCTCCTCTGGGACTTGTTTGGGGGGTAGGACTCTTACTAGCATCAGCGTCAGCCTGGGAGTCCATTGGTACAGGTGGCTCTATCTCCCAGCTCCGTAGAGCTGTGTTGGGAACCAATGAACTCTCTAAAATGCTTTACATTTTCCTCCGAGTTTCATGGCCTTGGGAATAGCCACTCATGAGCTGTGGGGAAAAAAGCCACTGGATGACTGAGGGAGGGTCAGAGAGCAGGGTGCAGCTGGCAAGTTTAGGTGCTGCCTTTCGTGTAACCCAGGGAAGGCATCAGAGGCCTGCCCCAGTTGGCAAAGGAATGGGTGTGGGCTGTCAGGAGTGTGGTGATGTGCTGAGGAAGGATGCTGTGCAGGGAACCACTGTCTCGGCCCTGACCTCATCGGCTCCATGGCTCCTCTGAAGCACAGCTGTTCAATCTTTCAAGTCCTCCATCCAGGAAGTAGCTATCTCTAGCAGAAAATGCACTTGAGGGCATAATATGTAAATATTTCACTACTGTGTTATAGTCGGCAGGAGCCATATCCCAGATGAAGCATCCCAGATGCCGGCACTGGAAAGGTCCCTGGCTTTCCAGGCAAATATTTAGCTCATGGAAACATGAGTCATACCCATAGAGGAGTATGGATTAACTCCTTCTTTGCCTGCTGGCTACAGGGCCAGGTCACAGCCATGTCTGTCCTGTTCACCATTAGGAAATGGTGGGTCCTGGGCTGTGCACTCAGTGGGTTGTATACACAGTAGGTATTCCGTGAACACTTCTGCTTGTTCAGTGAATTGTCCTCTTCTGAAGCCGCCCATACTTCCTCTTGTTCCTTAACCTCACCTGTCACCACCATTGTACTTAACAGCACCCTGTCCTTCCACAATCTTACAGCAAATGCCAAGGAACTTAGCAACATCCTGAAATACCACATTGGCGATGAAATCCGGGTGAGCGGAGGCATCGGGGCCCTTGTGCGGCTCAAGTCCCTCCAAGGAGACAAGCTGGAAGTCAGCTCGGTGAGTACGTCAAGGTTGGCTGTGTGATGCTGTGAAAGGGCTAGGGCACACCTCACCATGCACACAACTTTTAGGATGCTAATGGAACCTTCGACTGTGGTTTGTCCAAAGAAAGAGAGAAAAAAGAAAAATCGCCCAAGGGATACCAAGAGAGATTATAGTCAGATGCAAGTGAGAACTTCCAGATGTTCAGGAAAGTAGAGCATCTGGTGTGGATTGTGAAGAAGCCCTTTAGAAAGTGGGAAGTAGTCACTCTTCTGGAGAGATCAGTTCCTCCCTTCCTTCCCAGCTCCAGTCCCCAAACCCAGGCACCCACTGAGCTGTTGCAGGAGCTGCATTCTAAGAGTCCCTTCCATTCTGAGCCTGCTGTGGGAGCATCTCTTGCTGTGTGTTGATGTGCCACTCCACTCTGGAGCTGTGTTCAGAGTGTCCCTACCCTGGAAAGGGCTAGCCTGACCCAGCAGAGGCATCCTGAGGATGGGAGCCAGCTGTGGCTCTCTGCTCCTTCCTCTGGATCTTTGGTATCCCTTGCTCACCACCTCCCTGGGGAGTGTGGGGAGAAGGCTCGGAGAGGTCTGTTTAACTGAAGGTCACTGAGGGTCTCTCAGGACTGAGTGTCAGGTGCTGGATCCTGTGTCACAGGCACAAGCCTTTCTTGTACCTCAGCTCCCACTTCTGTTAAGACACAATCTCCCTCCTTGATCCCCACTGTGGTGAGGGCAAGATTTTTGCTGAGTGCAGGTCACTGAGCCTACATAAGTCGTTGGAAGTCTGCAGAGGGCAAGGACAGCTGCTCACCAAAGAAGTCCTGCCACTTATGCCCAGGATGGGTATGCAATTGTCAGATGCCTGCTGAGACTGCACGTTTAACAACTATTGTCTCTTCCCTTAGAAAAACAATGTCGTGAGTGTCAACAAGGAACCCGTTGCCGAAGCTGACATCATGGCCACAAATGGTGTGGTCTATGCCATCAACAGTGTTCTGCAGCCACCAGGTGAGGAAGTCTACATGTGGTCCTAACCTGAAGGTGCCCATTGGCATGGCTTCCCTGTTGCTGACCGAATAGCAAATCGGGAACTGTGGTTTCAAGGTGACAAGCTACAGAACTTCAGGATGTATTTCTTACTGTTCTACCCCAACTCAGACCTCACCTCGTGTGTATATTTATGTGGATGCTGGTGGGAGAGAGGGCCCAAATGTCATTCGTGTGCTCGGGGCACTGAGGGCTGTGTGTTCACTAAGGTGTGGGTGGCTTTCCTTTCCTCTCTAGCCAACCGACCACAAGAGCGAGGAGATGAGCTGGCGGACTCTGCCCTTGAAATCTTCAAACAAGCATCAGCATTTTCCAGGGTATGTGTTCTCCCCACCAGCAAGTCACAGATGAGGAAAGCGGCCCTGGGATCCACCTGGCCTAAGCAGGCAGCCTACTCTGAATTCATGCCAGAGCAGCCTGGCTGCTGAGATTCTGAGTCCGCCCCCTGTTTCCCAAGGCTCACCTACCCGCTGCAGTGTGTGCGGAGCTAGCCTCGGCCCTGCCCACCTCTCCCTCAGGGTCTTTCTCTTCCTGAGTTTCCTCAATGGGTCCCCAGCCAGCTCAGGGCATGGCGAGGGGTCCCTTGAGTCAGGTGATGCCCATTAGAACTTACTAAAGCCTTGGTTTCAGGAGACGAGGGTAGAGTTCTGACCCGGAAGGCTGGAAGGCTAGCACGGCTCTCCACTTTTGAACAGAGCTCTCCTCCAGAAGGGCTAAGCTCATACTCTTAGGAGACGCTTCAGCTGATCCCCTAGCTCTAAACTCTGGTCTCAGTGGAAAAGCCTAGCTTGGGGTCTCCCCAGGAATGTCTATCTTCTATGTAAGACCCCATCTGAAAGGGCCTTGTGCAGCCAAGGGCCACCAAGGCTAACTGAGGGGGCGACATTCCCTCTTCCCACCCCCACCTCAACATTTGCTTTAAGTAGGGGTGGCAAAGTGCAAACTCTCTCCATATGTGGGCTCAGTGACAATACATGCCAGGAAGCCTGACACCTTAGGGAGGCATAACACACAACCACAGTCCCACTTTGAATGGTTGCCAAAGTTCCAGGACAGCTTGGTCTACATTTCAAGTTCTAGACAGCCAAGGGTAAGGGAAGGGAGGAGAAAGAGAGACAGAGGAAAAGGGGAAAAAAAAAAGCAAAAGAAAGACTGACTTGTCTTGTATTGTGTGTGTGTGTTTGTTTCTTTGTTCTTTCAGGCTGCCCAGAGGTCTGTGCGGCTCGGTAAGTATCTGGGTTTGTGGCCCCTTCTGGGCTGGCCCGTCAGTCCCCAGCACACCCAAGCCTGCCATCTGTTGCATACAGATCGCCATGTTGTGTGCAGTAAAGCAAGGCTGGCCTTTAGGGTCAGACACAGAAAATCTAGTTTTCTTCTTCGTAACATGAAGAGAGGGGAGTAACAGCCCGTGGGGTGAGTGTGGCTTTGGCCTCACGTCGCCTGGGGAGACTGCACAGGGCTTGGTAGGTGACCACATGGAGGGTATCATTCCAAGCTGATAGACGAAGAAAAACCTAAAAACATCAAATACTGAACAGGGAGTGAAGTTCCACAAACCCCAAACTCCTGCTATTTACAAGATACATGGCAGAGGGAGGCCACAGGCTTCTGTCCGTGGGATTCTGAAGCTGGGCCTGATGGTACATGATCCCAGCTCCCTGGAAATCTGAGGCAGGAGGACTGCTAGCTTAAGGCCTAGATGGGCTACGGAATGTGTTCAAAGCTGTCTGATCAACCTAGTGAGACCTTGTTTCAGAAATAAGGAGAAGAGGGGATGGGTACCTCATTTGCCCAGCATGCATGAGGCTCTAGGTTCATTCCCTAGTACCAAGACAGAAAGACGAAATAAGAGTCCCAGACAGACTGGGACACCTGCATCTTACCGGCTTCCGTGCTTCTTGTTTTCAGCCCCTGTCTATCAGCGGTTACTGGAGAGGATGAAGCATTAGCAACAAGGACCAAGGAGGAGTGTGCCGCAGCCGCTTCTTGCCGGTTTCCCTCAGTTTGCCAAAGAGACCATTGAATGTTTCGGAAACCAAATATCCCATTTTAACATACATGGGCTGCGCCATATTCGATCAGAGCCTTGGATGGGTAGGGAAGGGGTGAAGGAGAGACAGGGTCTTTCTAGCTTTGGATCCTTCTAATCATGGCTGTTGACCCACTGAATGCACATCTCTGGCAGTCATTGCCTGGCACGAACTTCCAAAGAAGGACCTCTCCGAAGCCTGGGATATCCTGACTGTGCCAAGGGCCTGGAAAAAAGGGAGCTGCAGCATTTTGGAGCTCACAATGTGAATCAAACAGTTAGTTCAGCACTCTGGAAAGCCCTGGCATGGTTCTGTAAGGCTCTTGTACAGCTGGAGAAACGGCATCACTATAAGCTATGAATTGAAGTGTTTCCGTCAAATGTCTTGTATCTAGCCATGGCTTGGACGCTTCGATCTGACCCTTCCCAGGTAGAAAAGAAAGAGTGTGTAGAACATGTAGAATCCAGATTACCTGAGTGTGATGGAGCTGTGGTATGTTTGTAATAATAAAACTGAAGAAATGTATGCCTGTGCGCTGGCTGGGGACTTGGGGTGGGCTCTGCTCCTTGGCGCTTGCAAGCTGCTTCACCCATGAATGTCTTCCCAAAAGCCGTTCAGCAAGGGACTTCGAGGGCGGTTATTAGGAGCAATTCCAGCAGCTGGCCCCTGGGTGCCCACATAGCTTCTCGAGGTGTGAAGCTAAATGCTGGGCTTGTTTTCACAGCACCCAGCACTGGACACGCCGCCCCCTTATTGCTCTGAAACGTCCTCCTTCCAGGGTTGAGATGCCATCATTGTGTTGGGCTTTTAGTTACTTTGTTTTTGTTTCTTGTTTATTTTATTTTATTTTATTTTATTTTATTTTATTTTATTTTATTTTATTTTATTTTATTTTATTTTATTTTATTTTATTTTATTTTATTTTATTTTTCAAGAGACAGAGTGTCTCTGTGTAGCACTGGCTGTTCTGGAACTCACTCTGTAGACCAGGCTGGCCTTGAACTCAGAGATCTGCCTGCCCCTGCCTCCTGAGTTCTGGGATCAAAGGTGTGCACCTCCGCTGCTCAGCTGTGTTGGGCTTTTGACAGCTTAGTTTTGCCAACACAGACCACCATACAGAGATCATCTGGATGCTTAAGGAAGGGAATATTGGTAACAACAACAGCAAAGACAGTCAAACTGGAGATGGGGCCCATCTCGCAGTACCCAGAGACTCAACACCTGACAAGAAAGTTAGTCCATGTTTCCCAGGCTCTGCCATCTGGGCCCTATTCAGACCTACACTCTCTAGACTGTGCTCAGCACTCTGGGGTAGCGGTTTAACATCATAGGCCTTCTGTGTAGCAAGCTATTGACCTGCTTCCTGGGTTAGGTATTTGTGGATATGACAGTGAGGTAAGATATGGTGTAGAGAACATTGCACAGCGCCATGCCCTTACCATGCCTTTTATTGCACAGTGCCATGTCCTTATCATGCTTTCTCTGATGCCTCAGATCCTTGCACCCTTCACTCGGGTCTTTCCTGAAGGCAGCCTGCTTTCTTGGAGAATGGGACAATCCTGACTACATACACCCTGCTCTGCCATGATGGCTCACTCCATCCGGTGGAACCCACTCTACTTCATGGATACACACACGCATACACACACACACACACACACACACACACACACATCCTAATGTAGTTAATGCGTAACACCAGTCACTTGTGAAACTAGGATGACAGGCGAGGCAGGGAGGCTCCTTTCTTATATAAGATAGATATTATATCAGTCCATAAAAATTGATTGTCTAGTAGGATGGGTAGATGGCTCAGTGGTTAGAAGTACATGCTGTTCCAGGGGATGACTCATTCCTCGTGTGCACAGATATCTTCTGAGGATCACACACCCATTTACCCATTGGGTCCTGGGTAACAGTTGTATCTTTGTCGTCATGAAACTTTCCTGTGGGTGGAGAAGAGAATGTTCAGTCACTTAGCTAATGGCACTAGCGGTGACATGTGGGGACACTGAAGCACAGCACTGTAGCTCTGTGACTGGTAACAAAGGAACCTGAGGAAACGGGCATGAAAGGGATCATCGTCTAGAATGTCTACTGCACCCAAGGGGGAGGGGAGCCCTAAGGAGAGCTGAAGCAACTAACTGGAGAGTGAAGCTGAGTGAGGGTGAGGGGCTCAGGAAGACATCGTGTAGAGGGGCGAGGCACAGCCTGTGTGTGCACCCTGTCCCTTTGCTTCCCCATTACTCTGCCCTTTCGCCCTGGCCTGGCACCGTGATGGCCATGCTCACGTTGGGTGTCCTGCAGCTGTGCTGCGCTTTGGGGACACACCGTACCCAAGACTCCAGCAGAACTGGAAGGGATGGCTAGCCTCGCTCTTAACATTTTAAGTAAAAGTCCGTGCTGAAAGGATGGCTGACAGTTAAGAGCGCTGGTGCTCCTAGAGAGGACCGAGGTTTAGTTTCCAGCTCCTATGTGGTGGCTCGAAACCATTTGTAATTCCAGATCCATGGGGATTTGATGTCCTCTTCTGATCTCCATGAGCACATATGGCACATGGTGCCTGTGGACCTATATGCAGGCAAAAATGGTTATTCTCATAAAATAATAAAACAAACCCTTTAAAATACTTAAAATAATACCTCCCCCAGGATTCCTTGAAAATGCCAAATTCCAACCTGGGCTTCAGTCCTCCCCCCGCCTCTTCTCCATCCTTGCCTCAACCCTCCCAGTAAGCGGTTCATCTCTGGTTTTCCCTGGAGCCTCCTGTAGCTAAAACCCACAGGCAGCCTCCCTTCCTGCCCTCTGTGGGGATCTTAGAAGGGCGCCCTTTCAACCTTCCACTGTGTGCTGGTTCTGAAGGCTCAGGCAAAGCTTCAAACATGTGCTGCCATCTGCAGGCCACCTTTCTAAGGCTGAGAAGCTGGCCTCTAGGTCTTTCCTGGGTTGTGTCCATTCCAAGGCCAAGAGCATCCCAAACAGGATAGACATTGCCCAGGGTTCCCCTGAGTTTCCCGCTCCTGAGCCTTAATCAAGGGAGGGGACAGAGGATGAGGGGGAAGGAGGCATGGCCTCTTGTTGCTGATTTCTGGGAGCACAGGACCTTCTGGGATTACAGAGAAGAATGCCAAGGCCCTTGGCATCTGGGACCCAGAAACCCTTCAATGGCCAGGGACCGCCTAGACCTGGCCTCACTGGTCAACAAAGAGGACAGCCTTTCTGTTGGCCAAAGAGGGTCCCCATTGCTGAGCTGAGGACCTGCATGAATTAGCTTTTCTCTCTAATGCTGTGTGCAGAAAGCAGCCATGGCAATTTTCACACACTACTTCAGAAACGGAAGGTGAGGCGGGGAAAGCAGTAAGCATCGCCCTGGGTAGGAGCTGGCTCCAAAGCCTACACTCTGGACTTCTCCGCTCTCCCTGCCCACTGTACCAGGGCCAAGTGAAGCATGGGAGTCAGCCCTGAGCAAGCAGGGCACAGGCAAATGTGACCCCATTCTCCTGAGAGCACCCTTCCACAGCAGGTGGGGTCCCTGCACATCCTTGACTACAGTTTTCTGTCACACCAGTGAGGGAATGGGATGGGGGGAGCAGCCACAGCCCAGGGGGCCCAAGCAACACACCAATGCCTTGGAAGACAGGGAAACACCTCTGTGCCGGAACCGTGACTCAGCACTGGGCTTCGAAGAGCTGTACGGAACACTGTGCTCATAATTGTTTCAAAGCCAGGAGAGAAAGCCTCGGAATGAAGGGTGGGCCCAGTGCCGCACCCACAGAAGTCAAATGGGGCCACTTCAAACCATCGCGCCTGGCAAGAAGCAAAGTTGCTCACCCCAGCAGGGCCCGGGGATCCCACACACCCATAAACTCCCTCTCTCTCCCTCTCTCCCTCTCTCTCTCTCTCTCTCTCTCTCTCCTCACACCCACACCTTAGAGGCCTGAGACAGAACTTCAGACCTGAACAACTGCACTCCTCACTGGTGGAATAAATGGCTACCCTGTGACCATTATGGAGTCAATGACCAAAACAAAACTGCTCCTAGGTCCGTGGTAATGGGCCTATGAACACTCCGTAGGAGGAAGAGAGAGGTCCACAGGCCCTTCACCTGGATTTCAGCACTGTTTCCTCCTGCCCCAGCTCCAGCTGCTCACGCTCTCAAGAGGGGGTGGTGTATTCAAGAGACAGAAGGTTAACTGAAGGTGTGACTCCATGACACACTTCTCAGTGAAACCACTGTTTTTAGTCACCCTCCCTCCTTTGTCAGTAACTCCAAGGCCCTGGGTGATTTGACTCTCCAGCCCTTTGGAGGGAGTGGTTACCTACTTAGAGGGTTTTCGCACATTCCCAGAACCCTCCCTGTTGTGGGCCCCCAACCCGCCCCCAGTTTTATTTTCCGGAAGTTCTGAGATTTGGGAATAGCAGAGGGGGAGGAATTCTGATTAAGCGCCCTTATTTGGGCAGAAATGAGGTTTCGCACGAACAGATGGGAAACTCCTTTTTCTCCAGCCAGTGGCTCCTTTGGCTCCTCACAGCTCCTTGACATCAGCACTGAAATAACTGAAGTTCAAGGGGCAACCTTACAGACCTTCGGGATGTAGGATGAGGACAAAATCCTACTGTTGGCAGTGGAGCAGAGGCACGGCTACTACTCTGGGGGGAAAAGAGAGATACAGGATGCTGCATAAAAGCCCCGAGGGGCTGAGCTTTCGGTTGTACAACACCATTCTCAGGTTAAATTCTTTAGCTGCTTCCCAAGTGGGGAGCAAGCTTCGGCTTAGCCGCTCATACAGCAGGTATGCACAAATACGGGGGAGAAGCCCCTCAACTCTCTACCCAGCTTCTTCTTCCCCTGCAGCAGGAAGAGAATCTACCTTCATCCTCAGGCAGTGTTCATGGTGTACCCCTCAAAGTAAGGAAATCTGAGGGACCCTGCAGATGCCAGCGACCAGAGCACTTTGACTGTGAGCTCAGGACTATTTCAACCACAGAGAACGTACAGGGATGGGAGATTCTTGGCAGTAGGTGACGTGAGGCCACGTGATTAATGCTTACCTGTTACGTCCTCAAGAATATTCTCCCCACAGAGGGTACATTTATCAATGGCCAATTGCCTTTCATGGGGATCACAGAATTTATACCAGGGAATGATTTAAAGTAATGTCCTATTTGTCATCTTTCTAGACCAGATGTTTAACTTTAGAAAATACTTTGGGGGCTGGGAAAATGGCATGAAAACAATGATCTTCACTTCAGAATAAGAGTGCTGGAAGCTCAGCATAGTAGGTGTGGGATAGGGATATTTTTGTTTCTATAGAAGCTAGGACAAGAGTCAAAAATGGCCATTACCATGATTTGGTGCAAAGCATTGATTGTTTTTGTTTAATATTCTTAATTGCATTTTCCTATCCTCAGAGTCCTCATTGACTGAGTTTGTCAGGGAGACATGATCTTTCTCCCTCCTGTCTAGCATAGTCCCTACCCAAAATTCTCCATCCTCTTGGCTTAGGATCCCCCCTTTTTTTTCT